GACCCGCCTGGGCAGGCGAGACCTCATCTCTACAATAAATCAAAAAATTAGCCAGGCGTGGTAGCGCGCGCCTCTAATTCCGACTACTTGGAAGACTGAGGCAGAAGGATCGCCAGAGCCCAGCAGGTCGAGGCTGTGGTGGCCGGGAGCAGGTACTGCACTCCAGTCTGGGCGACAGAGTGAGACTCCAACTCAATAAAAACAAAACAAACAAACAAAAATGGATAAATATATTATCTTATAATACTTTGCATGTATATGCTACCTGTCTGAGCACACAGCTTGAGGAAATTCTGACATTTTTTATGTGAACTGATTTTACCCCAAGTGTTATATTTTTTTCCTCTAGATATTAAGTAAGGCATACATGACTCCGTGAAAGTGCACCCAATTTTTCAGTTCAGCTCTAGTACTAAACATTAATTAGCATGACTTTGTGAGCCAGAAGATATTTTATCCTTACTGCTTTTTAAATTACAGAAGCAATACATGCTTCTTTCAATAGAAGAGTACAAAAGTAAAAGATGGAGTTTTTCTTCTCTCCCTGTCCCTTCTATCCCATTTGGCAGGAGTATATTTTGTTAACAATTTAACAATGTTTTTTTTTTTAGTTGGAGTCTCACTCTATTGCCCAGGCTGGAGGGCAGTGTCATGTTCATGGCCACCCCAGCATCGACCTGCTGGGCTCCGGCAATTCTTCCACCTCAGCCTTCCAAGTAGCCAGAACTTCAGACATGTGCTACCTTGCCCACTAGTTATTTTATTTTATTGTAGAGATGAGGTCTCACCATGTTGCCTAGGTTGGTCTCCAACCCGTGGGCTCAGGCAATCAATCCTCTCACCTCAGCTTCCCAAAGTGCTGGCTTCAGCCACAGTGCCCAGCCAACAATTTAACAATTTTGTTAACAATTTTGTCTCCGTAACTCTCCCTCTCTCTATGGCTTTGGATATTTTCTTCTTTCTTTCTGTCGCTATCTCTCTCATGTTTGTTTATTTATTTTTAATTATTTTTTTTTTGAGACAGGATTGTTAGCTTTGTCATCCAGGCATGAGTGCAATGGCATGATCATAGCTCACTATAACCTTGAACTGCTGGACTGAAGTGATCTTTCTACTTCAGCCTCCCAAATTGTTGGGGTTACAGGCGTGAGGTACGCAATGTGCCCAGTCTCTCTCTCTCATATTTATATCACATACTACACACATACTTGCTTACTTTTAAAAAAACTTAATATATTGTGAGCATCTTTCTATTTTAGCTCACTTAAATCAGTGTTGTTTTTCTGGATTATTGCATAATTTTTCATTGTATGATGGAATCATAATTTACTCACCCATTACTTTACTGGTGAAAATTTAGGTTGTTTCCAACTTTTTGCTATCACAGACAATGCTGCTAGCAGTACATAAGATAGTGTTTTGGCCAGGCTTGGTGGCTCAGCCTGTTTTCCCAACACTTTGGGAGGCCAAGATAAATGGATTGCCTGAGCCCGTAGGTTCAAGACCACCCCGGGCAACTTGGTGAGACCATGTCTCTACAATAAAATTAAAAATTAGCCAGGTGTGGTAGTGCACACCTGTAGTTCTGGCTACTTGGAAGGCTGAAGTGGATCGCCTGAGCCCAGCAAGTTGGCACTAGGATGACCATGAGTGTACCACTGCACTCCAGTCTGGGCAATAGAGTGAGACTCCAACTCAAAAAAAAAAAAAAAAAAGACAGTGTATTAGTTACATATTGCTGTGGAGATGAGAGACTTAGAACCTTTAAAAAAAAAAGCCAGACATTTATAGTAATAAATGTGACTTAGCTGGATGCTTCTGGCTCAAGTTCTCTCATGAAGTTGAAATAAAGCTGTTAGCTTGGGCTGCAGTCTCATCTGAAGGCTCAACTTGGGCGGATTTATGTCCAAACTCACTGATGTGACTGTTGGAACCCTAAGAAGATTCACAGCCGGGCTCAGTGGCTCAGCCTGTAATCCCACGCCTTTGGGAGGCTGAGGTTAGTGGATTGCCTGAGCCCGCGGGTTCGCGACCCACCTGGGCAACTTGGTGAGACCTCATCTCTACAATAAATTAAAAAATTAGCCAGGCGTGGTAGCGCTCGCCTGTAGTTCCAGCTACTTGGAAGGCTGAGGCGGCAGGATCGCCGGAGCCAACAGATTAAGGCTGCGATGGCCGGGAGCGTGCCACTGCCCTCCAGCCTGGGCGACAGAGTGAGACTCCAACTCAAAAAAAAAAAAAGAAGATTCACTTCCAAGCTCACTGATGTGGATGCTCATAGGCCTCAGTTCCTCACCACATGGGCCCTTTGTAGGTTGCCTGAGTGCCCTCACAACATGGCAGTGGATAATCAGAAACAAAGAGAAAATGAGGGAGGGAGAGAGAGAGCATTCTCAAGATGAAAGCCATGGTCTTATTATAATCTAATTTCAGAATTGCCATCTCATCACTTCTGCCACTTTCTCTGTTAGAAGTGAATCTAGGCTGGGTATGGTGGCTCATGCCTATAATCCCAGCACTTTGGGAGGCCAAGGCGAGAGGATTGCCTGAGCCTGCAGGTTCGAGACCAGCCTGGGCAACTTGGTGAGACTTCATCTCTACAATAAATAAAAAAAAAATTAGCCAGGTGTGGTAGCATGTGCCTGTAGTTCCAACTACTTGGAAGGCTGAGGCGGAAGGATTGCCTGAGCCCAGCAGGTTGAGTCTGCAGTGGCTGTGAGCATGCTATTGCACTCCAATCTGGGCGACAGAGTGAGACTCCAACTCAAAAAAAAAAAAAAGAAGAAGAAATTAGCATCAATTTTTAAATAATTTTGCCAAACTGAGAGGAAAGAAAATGATATTGTTAGATGTTCTTTATTGTTGTGTTTTCTTTATTACTAGTGACTTTGGGCATATTTACATATATTTATTAGCTATTCGTATTTTTATTCCTCTTATTTTTATTTATTTATATTTAATGATAGGGTCTTGGTCTGTTGCCCAGGCTGGAGTACAGTGGTGCCATCATAGCTCACTGTAACGTCGACCTCCTGGACTCAATCGATCCTTGACCTCAGCCTCCCTAGTAGCTGGGACTAGAGGCATGTGCTACTACTATGCCTGACTGATGTATTTTTCATAGAGATGGGCTCTCCCTATGTTGCCTGAGCTGGTCTCAAACTCCTGGGCACAAGCCATCCTCTCACCTCAGCCTCTCAAAGTGCTGGCGTGAGTCACTGTGTTTGGCCTTTCCTTTTTGAACTGCACATTCATGTTGTCATTTTTTAAAAAAATCAAATTGTTATCTTGTATAATATCTCCCCCTTAACATTGGGAAAGTTCCCAAATGAATCTGGTAGGTGTTCCTGACATTTTGACATGAAGAAATACTGCTAGGCTAATGTCTAGCATCAGGTTAACACCAAGATTACATAAATTCTAAAAACTTCATTTTTATCTAACGCCTCAATTTTAAAAGGAGTGCAGAACTTCAAATGCAATAATAAAAAGACAAACAACCCATCTAGAAAGTGAGCAAAGGATTTTAGTAGACATTTCTTCAAAGAGTATGTACAAACAGCCGTACGCATTTGAGAAGATGCCCAACATCATTATTCATTAGGGAAATGCAAGTCAACCTTGACTCTGTGAATTATGTGACCTTAGTAAAGCTCTTTTTAAAAAGGAAGCCCAGGATAAAAGGGCATTTGGAATGACAAGAGAACCTTGAAAGTAATAGGCAACAGTCTAGAAAAGTAACAAAGAATGTCGTCAGCAGGCTGATGATAAACCTCGACCCCCTTGACTGCGTCTCCAGCATAGTTCACTGGAGTTATATTTGGACAGCTTCATCTACTATTTCCCTTTAGAGGATGATCTCAGAACAGTGTCTTAGAAACATATTGGGCATACAGAAACATAGAAGTAAAGATATGTTTGGCCACGTGCAGTGGCTCATTCCTGTAATCCCAGCACTTTGGGAGGCTGAGGTAGGAGGATTGTTTGAGCCCAGGAGTTCAAGACCAGTCTGGGTAACATAATGAGAACCTGCCTCTATTTATTTTTCTAAAAAAGATATTTTGTTCTGGTATTTTATTTATACTGCACTTTCACATGCTTTACTAAGGATATATTTTGCTATTCTCTTGGCCTTCAAATGAAGTTATACTTTAAAAATATAATAAGGGACCGAGGATGGTGGCTCATGCCTGTAATCCCAGTGCTTGGGAGGGAGAATTGCTTGAGTCCAGGAGTTAAGGATTACAGTGAGCTATCATCATATATTTTATATATACATAAGAAAAAAGACAGGAGTTTCAGTAATTTTTTTCT